CAGCAGGACTATCTGTGCCAGAAAGGGCCTTAAATATGATTCTACCTCCTCTCTGAAGTACACACCACAGCCCGTATATTGAAATCACCACTCAGAATTCAATAACCATTTCAGCTTGCAACAGTAGTGCTATTGCTACTGATTTTTACTTTAGTTTCCACAAACTCTCTGAATAACGATGCAGCAATACCACTACAGCACTAGTTAAGTTATGCAGACAGACAAACAGAAGGGTTGTATGCAAGGGATCAACTGCAGGATGTTGGGTGATGCAGTGCATCGCTTCAGTTAACATCTGGAACCGTAACAAAAAAAAAACACACCACAACTTGCTGCTAAATTAGTTACTGTAGCATTCCAAACTGAAAATTAAAAGCAGGATCAAAATAATTCAATAGTAGAAGTTATTAATTTCTAGTTACCCACACAACCAATGTACCGCTGTAAGACTGATCTCTTATTGCTCACACATCTCTACTTACAGCATCTAAAGCATCAATACCCATCCTTCGCAAAATGATACTAATTATTTTTAAAAAATCTATAAATATAACTGCTAATACATTGTCCCTGCTGCCCAGACACTGCCCTGTCTTTGTGCAGGCTCTATGAAGACAGCTACTTATTATCAAAGGAATTATTTTCACATGCTGGTACTTTTGAAAGATTGTGGATTATTTACTGGAAAATAGGTGGTGCTTTTATTCCAAAGATACATTTATGCCTTACAAGCTTTAATTATGTTTCAAAACCATACTTTGAGGTGAGGTATTTATATTTTAGATTGAAGATTCAAGGTGTGGAGGTAAGATAATTTACTCTAAGCGATATCATCAATCAGTGCCAGTCTGGACTAACACCCTACAGTCCAGACTCCTCTTTTCTAATGCTTCTTTAACCAACAGAACAGGCAGGTTACATGGCTCCCAATTCCTAGGCGGAAGTGTGAAATGTAATTTACACCTCTTCTGTGCAAGTGCCAAGAGATGTTTAAGTCTGAGAAACTCAGCTCAAGAAAACAATGCAAAAAGATCTGTGCATCTCTCTGATAAAGGTTTCCTCTTTCACAAAATGTTCCTAGCGAAATGCAAAGAGTCTGAAACAACAAAATCATTATTCACCTTTCAGCTTTCACCACTGCTATGTTTTCAAGGAGGCACTGGATATCATCCTGTGCTCAGGAAGCTTAAAACCAGGAAATACTTCCACTGGAGTAGAGTTAAACAGTATATAGAAAATCTGCCCCTAATCTGCTGCATGAATGGCGAAATGATTTTTGGATCTTACACTGCTCTGGTGGAATTCCACAACCTGAGGAGGAGCTGCCGGCATTTCAAGTCTCCACTGGCTAACTGCGGAGAAAAGCGATGCATTCAACGTCAAAAATCAAGACTGTATCTCTGAAATTCTCCAAGGGGAAAAATAAGCTCTCTGTCTTTTGTAGCTAACTTCCACATTACAGTTTAACAGACAACAAAATGAATGCCATGTAGGAGAACATACCGTAGTCTGAATCCATCAGATTATGTTCAGATAGCATTAAAAAGATCCAGCAGAAGCCCTCAAAAGTCCAGTGTTGTTTTGTAGCCTGTACTCAGCCTCAGGAAGTAGAGAATGAGTACAATGCCACATGATCACCCCACATGCAGAGCAGGACTGTTTTAATTCAGAGCATGGACTTGAGTGCACATTATCTGAATAGAATATCCCAAACTATGGACTTCTTTCATAGCTGAGCTAACAACCTCCTCAAAGACCTTCACAACAATCACAACTATGTTAGACTGGGTCCTTCCCTGAAGACTTGATTGTCTAACACACAATATAACAGTTTGGCAAAACTGAAATGGAAAAGAAGGAGGAAATACTCAATGGATAGAGTCATCGGACACACTGACACCTCAACAGCTCACTAAATAAGGAAACCAACTTCTTGGTTCGATGTTGGCACATGGAAATTAAATGAAGTATCAGTGTTGAGAGTGTTTTGTCGTCAATCAAGGAAATTAAAAAGAA